GATCCGAAGATAGCTGTGCATAGAGCGTGCCGAAGTTCGGATCAGACTGATATGCCCGGATGAAGTGTCGCTGAAGCTCCTCGTCGAATGCGAAGGCATGATGTGTCATAGCGCAAAGATCAGGTCTTCGCGAGAGTGCATCTGCTGCGCGATTGGAGAGGCCGGGGACATGCTTTGGTGTGAAGTCAAATTGGTCGATGAAGTACATCCATCGTCCGATCGTGCTGCTCRMCGTGTCCTGCGTCTTGTAKTAGGTCAATGGATTGTTGTCTGTGATCCATGTGAACCTACGACGCCCAAGGAGGAAGTGCCGCCAGCGTTTGAGAGCCATCACGAATGCAAGCAGCTCCTTCTTCCTTGCATCATCAAGCGAGTTGATGGGAGGCACTTTGTGGCTGAAATACTCCACAGGGTGCCCGTCGTCGCCGTCGTGCTGTTCCAAGACTGCCCCAATGCCATAGTCGGAAGCGTCCGTAGTCACTCGCGTCGGCAGGGTGGGGTCATAGATGCTAAGGACGGGTGCCATGAGCATAGCCGTCTTAAGTGCTTGGAATGACTGGCGTGCGTCGTTATCGAATACGAATGGCACCTTTGGCGACTGTAACATCGTCATAGGTGCAGCAATCCTGGAGTATCCGGTGATGAATCGCTGATAGTAGCCCGCCAACCCCATGAATGAACGAACGTCCATGGTGTTGGTGGGCTCGGGCCATACTCGTAGGGCCTCGATCTTGTCCGCAAGCGGACGGATGCCTTGCGGCGTCACATAGTGTCCCAAGTACTCCAGCTCCTGCTGTGCGAACTCGCACTTGTCGCGGTGTGCTTGTACTTGGCCTGTCATAGCCGCTCCAAAACGGTGCGCAGGTGTTCCACATGCTCGTCCAGACTCCGGCTGTAAACCAGAATGTCGTCGAGGTAGATAAGTATGAAACGATCCAGCATGTGTCGGAACTCCGTCGTCATAGCCGCTTGGAAAGTGGCTGGGGCATTCGTAAGGCCAAATGGCATGACCATCCAGTCGAAATGCCCATACCGAGTCTTGAACGCGGTCTTGTAGSGATCCTCCTTGCGAATCTCGAGTTGGTGGTACCCAGACTTGAGATCCAGCTTAGAGAAGAACTGGCCGCCGCCCAATCGCTCGAGAAGGTCGTGGATGCGTGGGAGAGGGTCGATGTTCCTGATCGTCTGCGCGTTGAGCTTGCGATAATCGATGCACAACCGCAGGTCCTTGTTCTTCTTCCGGACGAAGAGAACAGGAGCACCATATGGCGAGGAGCTAGGCCGGATCCAGCCTTTCTCTAGAAGGTCGTCGAGTTGTGCCCGAAGCACACTTAACTCTTCCTCGCTCATTCGGTGGATGCAACCGTGCGGAGGTACGGCCCCGTCCTCAAGGATGATCTCGTGGCGGATGGATCGATCCGGTACTACTCCGTGCGGGCCTTCGAACACGTCGCTGTAGGCGTCGAGAAGTTCGGTGATGCGTGGATCCGAAGGTGAGTCCGTCGGTGAAGCGTCATGTGGCCGGAGGGCGTGGAGAAAACACAACCCCATCTCCTCGATGTCGTCTCTGATGATGGAAGCTCGCATGCTTGCGGCGGATACCACGTGGCATTTGATCGAAGGATGAGGAAGAGGCACCGTGCATGGAACTAATACTCCGTTC